CTGTCTGTGTCCACAGTTCCTTTTTTCTTTCTTTTTTTTTTTTTTTTGTTGTTGTTGAGTCGGAGTCTGGCTCTGTCACCCAGGTTGGAGTGCAGTGGTGTGATCTCTGCTCACTGCAACCTCCCCCTCCCAGGTTCACGTGATTCTTCTGCTTCAGCGTCCCGAGTAGCTGGCATTACAGGTGCCCATCACAACATCCAGCTAATTTTTGTATGTTTTAGTAGAGACGGAGTTTCTCTATGTTGGCCAGGCTGGTCTCAAACTCTTGACCTCAGGTGATCCACCCTCCTCTGCCTCCCAGAGTGTTGGGATTACAGCCATGACCCACTGCGCCTGGCCTTCTTTTTTTCTTTTTTTGTTTTTTATGTTTTGTAGAGACAGGGTCTCACTATGTTGCCCAGGCTGATCTTGAATTCCTGGCCTCAAGAGATCCTACTGCCAGAAACTTTTTTATCTCATAAGGACACCAGTCGCATTGGATTAGGGTTCCTTCTGAGGACCTTGCTTTAACTTAATTATCTGTTTTTTGTTTGTTTGTTTTGTTTTGTTTTTTGAGACAGAGTCTCACTCTGTTGCCCATGCTGGGGTGCAGTGGCTCGATCTCAGCTTGCTGCAGACTCTGCCTCCAGGATTCAAGCGATTCTCCTGCCTCAGCCTCCCGAGTAGCTGGGATCACAGACGTGCACTACCACACCCGGCTAATTTTGTATTTTTAGTAGAGACGGGCTTTCTCCATGTTGGCCAAGCTGGTCTCAAACTCCTGAGATCCACTTGCCTTGGCCTCCCAAAGTGCTAAGATGACAGGCATGAGCCACTGCACTCGGCCTGAATTATGTCTTTAAGGACTCTATGTCCAAATACAGTCACATTCTGAGGTACTTGGGGTCAGGACCCCAAAACCTGAACTTTTTGTGGAGGACACAATTCAGCCCTCAACAATGCATTTAACTGATTATTGCCCATCTCTCCTTCTTGGATGAAACTCTAGAAGGTCAGGGACTTACAGTATCATTTATGTATTATATTTTATGTATTTTGTAATAAGAGCTCAATGAACATCTGTTCAATGAATCAAAGAATGCGTGAATCAAGTCTGCTGTGGTGGTTCACACCTGGAATCCCAACATTTTGGGAGGCTGAGGCGGGAGGATTGTTTGAGGCCAGGAGTTTGAGACCAGCCCGGGCAATGTAGAAAGATCCTGTCTCTACAAAATAAATGAAATAATTAGCTATGGTGGCTTGCCGCCGTAGTCCCAGCTACTCAGGAGGTTGAGGAGGAAGGAGGGCTTGGGCCTGGGAGGTCAAGTTTGCAGTGAGCTGAGATCGCGCCACTGCACTCCAGCCTGGGTGGCTGAGACCTTGTCACTAAAAAAAGAGGAAAAGAAAAAAAAAAGGAATGAATTAGGGGAGGAATGAAGGGGAGTTCTTGTCTCAATGCTTTCCCACCTCCCGTTCTATAATGTTGGGCTGCGTGGAGCAAAGAAGGGGCTTTTAAATCACAGCATCTGGGCCGCATTATCCAGCCCCTAATCAAAATCACAGTGAATGGCCGGGCGCGGGGGCTTAGGCCTATAATCCCAGCACTTTGGGAGGTGGACGGATCACCTGAGGTCAGGAGTTCCAGACCAGCCTGGCCAACATGGTGAATGCCCATCTCTACTCAAAATACAAA